TGAACAAGCTCACCAATTCCTTTTAAATTCCTGAAAGCATTACTAAATCTCATATCAATGATAAAATTATCGGGTTGGTTGTCTAATATGATGAGATTTATATTTGAAAAATCTAATTGATAAAACTTGGCCAATATATCAATCATTCCTTATCAAAAGCTGATAATAAATCATATGGAATCAAGCATGCCACATGCTTAAGTAGCTCTATATTTATTTCATCAAATATATTGTTGATTTCTTAAAGTTGCTTATCTATCATAGTATAAAATAGTTCAATTTGATAATGATGTCTATTCGCGATTGTAGGAGTGTTTCGCCTTGATCTTTCTCGTATTACAAAAATATCATCCATATTTGAAATAATTATATTATTTTCTTCACAAAATAGACAAACTTCCTTAAGCAAAGTGTTCTAACCATTATCTTTCATATTATGGAGCCTTTATTTAGATATATTTATAAAAGTCATGACATTTATGTTGTCTTAATCTTTTCTTTGTAACACTTGTGATAATTAATTTATGACCCTCAATATAGCCTTCATCATATACAAATTGGAAACAAATTCAAATCATTATATAGAATAAACAAAGGCTTATGCTTCATCTTTTTGTTCACTGTTTGAACCATCCTTTATTATGATTTCAAGAACCTCAATGATAAATATGGATAAAAGTAATAAATTTGTAATTAATCCATAATGTGAATCTCAATGCATATCTCCAACTCGTTGAAGAGCAACTGCTTGATTCAAGCCTCTACCTCTAAATGCTTCTCCACTTTGTAATTGTTCAATGATTTTGTCATTCTATTTCTCTTCTTTTGCATGAAATCCTAATAATATTTATCAAATTAAAAATTATATTAAAAAGAAGTAACTTGGACATAATTTTTAGTCAGACCAATCAGTGTTAGTTGTAGTTGATATGTAATTAACTGAATTATTTTCTTTCATGATCTAAGTATTTAGTAAACTCACCACGCACATTCCTAGCTCTATTATAACATTGTTCGCGTAATCATGATATACTCAACCATATTTTGTGAAAAGTGATTCGATGGCTTTTTTTCAGTGTTAAAGCAGACGTCTGTTTTACATGCACAATCCTGCAACTTGTTTGACTGATATATCTAGTGATTCATTCCATAAAATTGTGAATAAATTGTTGTATAGTACATTAATTATGATATTTGAAGTCTCAATGGCAGTGGCAGTGGGATGCATAATTTCTTTTTGAATTTCAGGAGCAATTAGTTTAGTATTTTGCAGAGCATTATCCAAGAAAACCTTTCTCATGTCTTCATTGTGGCATGCAAGAAAGAGTAGAAGTTCAAAAAAAAATTCTTGATTATCACTCTTCGGATTCTTGATAACCACAAAAAGCTAAATCTCGATGTAAAAGGAAATGTATGCAATCTATTCTAGCAGTGTTGACCTTCATGTTATACCCAATAGAATCAGAAATGGAGAAGAAATGAACTCAGATCATAAAGTCCTCACCAAATGAGGGCGAAATCTCTGGGTAGTGTCTCATCTACAAACCCATCTGCCTTCCAAAATTTACCTCGGAACTTAGTTCGTTAAAACTCCCTCACCGAATAAGAAAAGCGAGCGGAGGCCGGGGCCGAATTTTCGGAGCCCACAAGCAGTTAGATGTATTCAATAATCATGACGATTTTAATCAAAAGGTTTTTCAAAAGCAAATATAATATCATGTTTATTATTCATTAAATCTTCATATTTACTTGAAGCAATATTCTTAGCACTGATAACTTTACCAGTACATGAACTTGAAATCTATTATTCTTCTTCCAATTTCTTTATCTTTTTTTTGTTAAAAATATCACTGCTTGCTTGCACTCCAATCTCAGGTCTATAAATATAACAAAATAAATAATAAGCTGTATCTTTTGTTATATTATACTCTAACCAACATTTGTATTTATCAAACTATACATGATTAAATCTTCGCAATTTATTTCCTATTTGCGTACATTGAAAATCATGATCATGAGGCTGATATGGCCCTTTCAGTAAATAATATCTTCGCGCCTTATCTCTCTCATTTGGATGTTAATCAGATTTTTTTTTCTTAATCTGGGATTTGCAGGGATATCGTCATAATTGATTTCTAAATGAATTTGTTTGGATTGTGCATTGTTATCGCCACAATTTCTAAATGAATTTGCTTGGATTGTGCATTGTTATCACCACATATAGTGTCATGTACATCTGCTTTGCTTTTCTTTTAAAGTATATCTCCATATCTAATATAAATAAAAAACTATTTAATAAATTTCTATTTGATTTCTTCTTATTCAAATATGACGTTTAAAAATAAAAATTTACTTGAATAAAAAATTGCAATCCTCTTAACAACGTACACGACTCCAATTTATAATTGACACTTCCATAAACTTTCTATGAACAAAAAAAAATCAAATGTGATAATCAATGTAATTCAGTAGCAATTTTTTTAAGTGAGATTATAAAGCAAAATATTGCTAATTACTGCAACATTAGGGTCCTTGCAGTAAAGCTTGCAACTTTTACTTCCAGACAGATTCCAACACACTATAATAAAAAAAAAAAAGTATATAGAGTTTAACCTGCAGGTTTCAATTAAAGAAAATAGCATCAACATGATTCTTGTCTTCACCAATGGTACTCTTGCTTTCTAAAACAAATAAATTAAAGAGTTCTTAAAGAGTGACTTCTCCTATATCGTTGGATCTGCCGATATATTGACCATTGCTTCACACCATAGCATCATCATAGCATGTAACACTCGATCTGCCATTGCTTAAGAGACTTGGGAGGCTTCCGAGCAGCCGACTGCAAAGTGTGGAGGAAGAATTGAGGCCCCGTCGGTGGAAGACTTTAGGGTTCAGCTGCAGGAGACGTTGTTGACAACAACAACAACAACAAGCCTTTATCCCCCCACGTGGGGTCGGCTACGTGAATCCTTTTTCTCCATTGTGTCATATTAAAAGTCAAATTCTCATTTAAATCTAATAAAGAAAGATCATTTCTAATTTTTTCTAACCAAGTCTTTTTAGGTCTGCCTCTACCTTTCTTAACATAAGTTAAATCTAATACCTCTACTTTCCTAACCGGGTCATCGGAAGGCCACCGTTTTATATGACCATACCATCTAAGGCGACTCTCTCTAATCTTATCTTCTACTGGAGCCACTCCAATCTTTTCATGTATATGCTCATTTCGTATCCTATCTCTAAGGGTAAAACCCTAAAAATGTCCATAAGCACAATCTACACCCTAAAAATGTCCCGCTAACAATGCTGTAAAGTCTGTAATCTAAAATCTTGATCAAGGCGATCTATCCTCATCCTATCCCAAGTGGCTCTGGTCTCAGCCTCTAAATCAGCAAAAATCATGTAAGACAATCTCTGAGAAGTTTAGTCAAGCTGAAGCAACCCAAACTCAACAGTGCGACATGAAATCTCACATATCTGTAAAAGGCTATCTCGAAGACCGCAGGAGGAAGCAAAGTCCAAAAGTAAGCAGACCTCCATGTGAAAACTTGACAAATCTAGTAAAGCGTTGAGGTCCACTCGCCGTAATAAAACTCGTAGTGCTGCAACAGCATACTGCATTCCCCTCGGCCACCACCGATTGAAAGAGCGACGAGCTCAGAACATTGATCTTGACTTGAAATATGAGAGCTCTAGACCTAGAACATGAAGGAAAGAGTTATCATTGAGAAATATTTATATATAAAATATGATAACAAATGTTAATTTGAAATAAGAAAATACCAGAGGAATGAAAGTCCTCTGCAAAAGCTACAGATTAACAACCAATTAAGTGAGAAATAACGCCTGGTGAAGACCCCCCTGAGGAGCAACCTGAAACCACTTGAGTCAAGTAAGGGTGGGTGATCAGCTCCGTTGTGGTGTCATCAGCATTACTCCTGGGTAGTAACTGGGTAGAGCCACTACGAGTATACTGAGCAACAGGTGAAAGCCCTCCCAAAGACCCACTAATGACTACTCAAGTGAAATATGAAAAAGTAAGAGATGAAACAAGCTGCTCCACTAAAAGTTCACTAGGACCACCGACAATGTGATCCATAAAAAACACTGGTTGTCACCTACAAACATATATTAAAGGGAAGTGAAAAGAGAGAAATAATAATAAATAAAGGCCATTGAATAAATAAGCATATAAGAAATATTTACCTCTAACTTTACCAGAAGCACCAGAAGTAGTGATTACGATAGGTGGGATTTGAGTGATCTTCTATGTGCAGGTCACCTGATGACGGGTGATGTGAAGGGCTACCTATGCCCAATGCTGGACTCGAACTGGTGTGATGAGCTGGTGGAGCAGGTGTAAGTCTGCTAGGCTTAGTAATTTGAATTAAGGTGAATGCATTTTTTTTTTAATGTATATAATAATTTACCTTAAACAGAGTGAATCAGAGCAGGTTCGTTTGGCCAATGTAGGGCGCAACTGTAAATCTGCTAATGGTCATGCCACAACCATGAAAGCTAATGGCTCACAATAGTTTGTCACTTTGTGCTTTATCGGTTGGTCTAAATTGAAGTATTATATCAATGTCCAAAACGTTTCAATATGATGACTGTATTGTTTCAATAATCTTTAATGTAGGTTAAATTGAAATTTTATATCAATATCTAAAATGTTTTAATCTGATGTGCTGTATTGTTTCAACAATCTTTTATGTGGAATTTTTAATTCAAAGGAATTCATAAAATGTTTGTTGTGTTATGTGATTCAATGCAAAAGCTTGTCATATCTATGTTTTACAATTTGCATATCCATTTATGCTTGTTTGACATCTTTTGATACCTTTTATACCATTCATGTTGATTTTTTTTTCATTTCATGAATTACACGCATAAATTTTCTTGTATGTTTCTGACGTATGAATCTGCATTTTAAAAATGTAGCAGTAGTGAATCAATTATTGTAATTGGCTGAATAATTTATTTTTGTTTTGCAAACACAGGGTGATGAACTACAAGTGAAAGTGAATAAGCTTTCATCTACAAAGACACAACTTCCATATGTTTACTATTTCTTAGATTATTGTAAACCCTCCAAAATCATGAATAGTGCAGAGAATCTTGGGGAGGTTCTTCGTGGTGATCGCATTGAGAATTCTGTATATGTAGTAAGTCTTTTTCATCAGTTAAAATTCTTGTCAGGCTATGTTTTGCAGTTATAAAAGGGGAACTTTTGAAGTTGGTATAATTGTTTTCCCTTAGGAAGGTAATGAGGAAAAAGTTCTTGCAACTGCTTGTTCACATTTGTTTGTCATTTATCGTATTTGTCAGTTTAAAATGAGGATGGACGAGACTTGCAAAGTTGCATGTCGTGTAAAGCTTACCCAAAAAGCTGCAAAGAAATTCAAAGAGAAGATTGATGATGAATATCGAGTTAATATGTAAGTTCATATCTCATTATTGCTCTAAGTTTTGTTCTGAGATTACAACTATAATTGACTTTTTTTTTCTTTTTTTTTTTGTATTTATCCCACTTGTTAAGAATGTATTACATTTTGTAGGATCTTGGATAATCTGCCTGTTGCAGTTCCTAGGCAAAGGAAAGATGGAAATCATGCTCTCACTTATGAGCATGGTTTTCGAGTGGGTATAAAGGTTGGCTTAGAAATATATAAAATTTTCTGTTTCTAGCTCTGTTGGAGATTTATTCTTGTATCATATATTTAACGCATGTTTTTATTCTTCAGAATAAGGATAAAAAATATTATCTCAATAACCACTTGAGCTTTAAAGTCATGTACCATAAAGATTTGGATGGTGATGATGGCCGTATTGTTGGCTTTGAGGTCCTTCCAAGCAGGTGAGGTGTTCAATGTTTTGCTAAACTCACTGTATAAAATAACTACCATGATGTTTTCACGGCCACATTTAAATTTTATTAGAAGAATCGTTCAATGCGGGTGCTTCTATTTCTTTAGTTTTGGCAATGTTTTTAACAATAATTATTACATTATGTAATAGCAGATGCTCGTAAATATGCATAAAAGGTGCATGGAGGTGGTTTTAGCTACGGTGTCAAAACAGGTCGGGTTCAAGTTCAACCTAAAATTGTCTCAACTAATTTGGTCAACACGAACCCGATATATTTAATAAACAGGTAAAAAATGTGGATCCAAACCCGACCTTCTAGCAACTCGAACTTGACCCGATAACCCATTTAAATAAAAAAAATATTAACTTGTTAACAATAAATTTTAGGTTGATTGATAATAAATAAGAAGATTATAGTAACAAATAAAAGAATTTAAGGAAAAAAATATTAAACTGGCCATTTTCATGTCAAAATCAGGTTAGTGGGTCAATCTGAACCCTACCTATTTAAAAAATAGGTTGGATTGCACAACCCGAACTTGACCCGATTATTATACGGATTAACCCGAACTCGGATTTTTCGGGTCAGATCCAAGTTGGGGTGGATTGGGTTATTTGTTGATGCCCCTAATTTTTGTTGTATTGATTGTTCAAGATATGATGACAATAATTAAAAAAAAAAAAGGATATGATGACACTAAAGAAAGAAAAAAATATTTGTAATGAGATTTGAGATGTATGGAAGGACGTAGGATGAAACCACGTTTTATCCAAACAGTTTTGAACAAGGAAATCTGAGTAGTATCCCTTAATGAGCGCAAGGTGATGACATTAAGGAAGCTAAAAGTGGAAAATGATTATTTTGCTAGAGTTTAGCTCCGGATCTGAAATGGACAGCAGAAAGAATGCCACAAAGGCTGTGGACTAGAATTAATCTGAAAGAGCCAGGGTGTAGAAGAGGTTGCCTATGCCAGGTGAACTAGGACCAAATCCAAATTCTTTTGTTAACATGAATGATAGGAAAACGGATTCAGGAATTCAACCTTAACTAGTTGGGATAGCCTGGTCATGATACAACAACAACAACATCAAGTTTTTATCCCTCTATGTGGGATTGGATACATGAATCATTTTTCTCTATTGTATCCTGTTAAGAGGTAAATTCTCATTTAAATCTAATAAAGAAAGGTCATTCCTAATATTTTCTAAACAAGTCTATTTAGGTCTTTCTCTATTTTTCTTAACATAAGTCAAATTTAATATATCTAGTTTCCTAATTGAGTTATCGGAAGGCCGCCGTTTAAGTGACCAAATCATCTAAGATGTCTCTCTATAATCTTATCTTCCACTAGAGCTACTCCAACCTTTTCACATATATGCTCTTTTTGTATCCTGTCTCTAAGAGTAAAGCCACTCATCCACTTGAGCATCATCATCTCTGCAATACTTAACATAACATTATGCTTTTCTTTTAATGACAAACATTCTTTACCTTAAAGCATTGTAGGTCTAACCACCATCTCATAGAATTTTCCCTTAACTTTGAGGGGTACTTTTTCTATCACATAACAAACTTGATGCATTCCTCCACTTCAACCATCCAACTTGAATTCTATTAATAATAGCCCCATCTATTTCACCATCACTCTAAACAATAGACTCAAGATATTTAGAAGTGTACTCTTATTAATAACTTCACCACCCAAAGTTACAATCCCTCCACTAGATCTATTATTATTAAAACTACACTTCATATATCCAGTTTTAGATCTACTCAAATGAAAGCCTTTAGACTCTAAGGTTGACCTCCATAATTCAAGTTTACCTTCAACTCCCTCTCTAGTCTTATGAACAAGAAGAATATCATCAGCAAAAAGCATACACTAGGGTACAACCTCTTGCAAATGTCTAGTGAGATCATCCATGACTAAAGCAAAAAGATATGGGCTTAAGACTGATCCTTGGTATAATCCAACTGAAATAGAAAAATACTTGGTTAAACCATCTTGTGTTTGAACACAAGTGAGAGCTCCTGCATACATATCCTTAATAACTTAACCCCTTTCTTTTCTAGAACTCTCCATAGCACTTCTCTTAGAACTTATAATATTCTTTTTCTAAATCAATGAATATCATATGTAGACCCTCCCTATTCTCTCTATACTTCTCCATCAATCCTTTCAATAAATGTATAGCTTCCATAATAAACCTACACGGTAGAATCCAAATTGATTTTGATAAACATTAGTATCACGCCACAACCTATGCTCAATAACTCTCTCCCATAGTTTTAAAATATGACACATTAACTTAATTCTTCTATAATTCACACAATCTTGTGCATCACCTTTATTCTTAAAAATAGGAATCAATCCACTCATTTGACATTTTTTTAGTCTTTAAAATAATATTAAAAATTTTAGTAAGCTAAGAAATTTCATCTCTTAATCATTTCCACACCTCTATTGGAATATCATCAGGTCCAACAGTTTTGCCACACTTAATTTTCTTTGAAGCCTCTTTAACTTCAGTTTTATTAATACGTCGATAAAAATAAAAATCTTTATTTTCATTTACGCTGCTAATGTTACTAAAGTCAATCACATTCTCATAATTTTCATTGAAAATCTTAGAAATAATATCTCATCCACCTTTGTTGGATATATTTTTTAATAAAAACATTTTTTTTATCTTCATCCTTAATACAGTTCACTCGAACCAAATTCTTATTACTCTTATATATTTGTTAACTAATTTATACATATATCTTTCGTCCTCTTTAGTATCTAATGTATTATATAAATCATTAAAAGCTAAAATCTTTGCCTTGCATATTGCTTTCTTAAAATTTTTATGAGCCTCTTTATATTTTCTCCAATTATTAGAATTTTTACATCCAAATTAATTTTTATAACAAATCTTCTTATTTTTTATCTTCTCTTGCACATTTTGATTTCACCAATTATTTTTACTATTATGAGTTTTTTCCTTTGATGCTCTATGCACATCTTTTGTAATATTTTTAATATTACTGACTACTTTTTCCCATATAACATTAGCTTTCTCATGCACAGATAAAATTTTAAGATCTAGTATTTTACTCTAAAAAATATTTTTATTAATATTTTTACCATCTAATCCTAGAAAGACGTTTAACTATAATTTTTATTTTCTGTCCCTTCATCTTAAAGTTCAAAGCTAATAAATAATATTGGGTATATAAACTTTCACTCAAAATAATTTTACAATCTAATCGATTTATTTTCTTATAAGAAAATAATCAATTTGAGTTTTACTATATATATTCTTAGAAGTGATGAAATGCTAATCTTTTTTCTTAAATAAGGTATTAGCAATTACAAAATCATAAGATAAAGAAAAATTTAGTATGGTCTTATCGCATTCATTAGTCGCTTCAAATCTATAGCCACTATAGATACTTTTAAAATCATATTTCTTTCTACTAACATGTCAATTTAAATCTCCTTTAATAAATTTTTTTTCTTGAATAGATATTTTTTGCATTAATTCTCGTAAGTCATTTTCAAATTTTAATTGTGAATATGTATACAAATCTATTTGAAGAGTATAAGTACTTATAATATTAATAATTTTAGCATCAATAATAATCTTTAAAGCTATAATTCTTACTTCAATTCTATTAATTTTTATAACATTATCCTTTAAATTCTTATCTATAATCACACCTACTCCATTTTTAGTAGACTCTTATCAGAATATCATAGTTTAAATCTTAAACCATCAATCTCGTTAGTCTTCTCTCTAACCCGTTTAGTTTTTTGAATGTATAGATTATTTATCTTTCTATGAATCATAATATCTATTATTACCATTAATTTACCTATAAAAAAAATCTATATTCCAAGTTCTTATTATAATTTTAGTTTCATGGACTAACATCCATACATGATGTGGGAGACCTTGCCTATTTAACATTGCACCCAGATGTCGGTGCAGTGGCCCTTGCACACTTGTCGTTGTATTTAGGCCATACAAAGCGTTGCTTCCAGAGAATGCCCTAGCATTAACACAATATATTAAATGATTTATGTAATAATTATTCGACAAGTTTTATGGTGACTATTGACTACCTAACACAACCCTCCATTTTTTTCATCCAAAAGTTAGGACTTGGCAACGACAGCGTTAATTACTTAGGAAGTTCAAATAGACATGTCCACACATTAAAACTACATCTTGTTAATGCTCTTTTTCTTGGAATGTAAATCAATCATCCCATCAAAGGCTAGATTAGAATTTCAACGTGATAATTTCACTTACCTTAGCAATTATTTCATGAGTGCATTGAATTATCTGGTTATGATTAAAACCTAATATAAGGAAATTGATCTGTCCAATATATTTCCTTCTTGCCACCCTTTTGGTGGGCAAATTTTTCATTGATGCATTCTTATGGAATCCTTCATTGCATAGCTCATGTAACAAATTGTCTAATATTAAGCATCCTTGACGGTTCTATAATTACTTATTTATTCATGCAATATTTTAAAGTTTTTTTCTGCTTTCCTTCGATATTTATCTCTGATTATCCTGCTCATCAAAATGCACTACCAACAAGATTATTCTCTCATACTGCACTTTTCACGGCTAGCGTTTGATATCCCTTTCTGATTATTTACTTCTTCCAACAGCGTAAAACATGCGTACCATGAATGGGATGATAAGAACCCTAATTTGACGACTTGCAATGCAAACACTAAAATAATTCCTGGTAGCCAGACTCCTCAGGAAGTCACTCCCGATACATTCGTTGTGTTCACTTATGATGTTACCTTTGAGGTTCGTGCTGAATTCAGTTTATTAAACCTTTTTTGCATTGAACAGCTCTTATTATTCTCCATTTCTTCCTGCAGCCGAGTGAAATCAAATGGGCTTCTCGTTGGGACACCTACCTTCTCATGAGTGATGATCAGATCCATTGGTTCTCAATTATTAATTCCCTTATGATTGTACTCTTTCTCTCCGGTATGGTAGCCATGATTATGATGAGAACTCTTTACAGAGATATTGCCAATTACAATCAACTAGACTCTCGGGAAGAAGCCCAGGAAGAATCTGGTTGGAAACTTGTCCACGGTGATGTTTTTAGGCCTCCAGTCAACTATAGTCTTCTTTGCGTTTATGTCGGAACCGGGGTGCAGTTCTTAGGGATGACACTAGTTACCATGATCTTTGCCTTACTAGGCTTCCTTTCCCCATCCAACCGTGGTGGGCTTATGACTGCAATGGTCTTCTTATGGGTTTTAATGGGTCTATTTGCCGGCTACTCTTCTGCTCGTCTTTACAAGATGTTCAAAGGCACAGACTGGAAGAAAAACACCTTCAAAACAGCCTTGATTTTCCCTGCCATTGTCTTCTCCATCTTCTTTGTTCTCAATGCCTTGATTTGGGGCGAGAAGTCTTCCGGCGCGGTTCCCTTTGGCACCATGTTTGCTCTGGTTTTCTTATGGTTTGGAATATCAGTTCCCTTAGTTTTTGTTGGAAGCTACCTGGGATTCAGGAAGCCGGCCATTGATGACCCAGTAAAAACCAACAAAATCCCCAGGCAGGTACCTGAGCAGGCCTGGTACATGCAGCCGATTTTCGTGATATCGATCGGCGGAATCCTTCCTTTCGGTGCCGTGTTCATCGAGCTTTTCTTCATCTTGACCTCGATCTGGCTGAACCAGTTCTACTACATCTTCGGCTTCTTGTTCATCGTCTTCATCATTCTTCTCATAACCTGTGCCGAAATCACGATTGTACTTTGCTACTTCCAGTTGTGCAGCGAGGATTACCATTGGTGGTGGAGGGCTTATCTGACTGCTGGATCTTCAGCAATCTACATATTCTTATATGCTGTGTTCTATTTCTTCACGAAGCTGGAGATAACTAAGGTCGTCTCTGGTATTCTTTACTTCGGCTATATGTTGATCGTGTCCTACGCCTTCTTTGTGCTGACTGGCACAATTGGCTTCTATGCCTGCTTATGGTTCGTCAGGAAGATCTATTCTTCAGTGAAAATAGATTGAAATGAGATTTTGAAGATGGAAATTTGTGAGAACATTACTCTTCAGATGAGACTGAGGGATCTTCAATGGTAGTAGGATAGATGAAGCTCCATCTTGTTACTCGAGAGCTTCGAATGTCTAAGAAGAGATTCATGGTTTTTATTTTTTATTTTTTATTTTTTTTTTAATTTTTTGTAAGAGGTAGTAGTGCCATGTTTTTCTTTAAAAGCTAGAACAATGGATGTTTGTGTCTACTTTAAGGGATTGCAGCAACTACCAGTTTTTATTATTATTTTTTTTTATCATAATATTTTTTTATTGTGATGCCTGAATGTTGCGTATTTGTTTGATTTATCTGATAGTTTTAATAGTTAGGAACTTAAGATTAAGGCTTCATTTGGGACGTTTTTTTTACGGCTTCTTAAAGCAGCTTTCTAGTTTAAAAATTAAATTTTTTATACTAGAAAGCTGCTTTAAGAAACAATAAGAAAGTCGCCCCAAACGAAACCTAAGACTTCGTTTGGGATGATTTTTTTACTATTTTTTAAATTAATTTTGAATAAAAAAAATTTTTGAGCTAGAAATTTTTGTTAAAAAAATGATTTCTAAAAAGTTATCATAAATGAAGCCTAAGAGTTTAAATTGTTCATGTGAATAAATTGTGGTGCCCTAACAAATTTGGGATGATAGAGAAGATTTATATATTTTTCTGGCATTAAGTTCTGCATGCACATAGATAAAGAGGAATAAAATTAATTTTGCATGGTAAGATCATATAGATTTGTCATTTGGAAAATTTATGAAGGGGAAAATCATGAGTATTGATTATTTAGCACATATTTAGACTTCGTTTGAGACGGCTTTTTTACTGTTTTCTAAAACGGAGTAACTCCGTTTTAGAAAGCAATAAAAAAACCGTCCCAAACGAAGCCTTAGTTGAGATCTTTCAGAGGTACTTAAGGGGGTTGATTTTGAATAAATATTAGATAAGCTCCTATAATGGCTATAAATGACAATATGTGATGTGGGGTAAATTTGAATAAATCCAAAATTTTAAAATTTATGATTTTGCTCCTTTTATGCCACTTTTAAGGTATTGAGATTTTTTTTATTTTAATTTTTGTCATAAAAATTACTTACAACAAACAAAATTTTAAAAATAGTCTAACAACAATAAGAATAAGCTTTTATCCCACTAAATGGGGATTATAGCATAAATTTTTTTTCATTGTATTTCATTAAGAATTAAATTCTCATTTAAATATAATAAAAAAATAATCTTTAATATTTGTTAATAAGTGTTTTAGGTCTCTTTTTACCTTTTTTTAATATAGGTTGAATCTAACACACCTACTCTCTTAACATGGTCATCAAAAGATCGACATGATCAAATAATCTAAAATGACTCTCTTATCTTATTTGTCATTAGAGCTACTCAAATCTTTTCACATATATATTTGTTTCGAATTTTATCTCTAAATATAAAGCTGCTTAGCCACTTGAGCATCCTCATCTTTGAAACACACCTAGATTTTATGCTTCTCTTTTAATGCTTAACATTTTGTGCCATAAAGCATTACAAGCCTCACCAACATCTTATAAATCTTTTTGTTAACTTTAAGAGGTATTTTTCTATTACACAACAGACCTAATGCATTCCTCCACTTCAAAAATCCACCTTGAATTTTGCTAATAACTATTTAACCATTGCTTTGAACAATATACCTGATATATCTAAAACATGCACTCTTTTTAATGACTTGATCACCCAACATCACAATCCAATCACTAGGTCTACTTCTAATAATATTAAACTTCATATATTCAATTTTAGATCTATTCAAATAAAAACTTTTAGACTCTAAAGTTGACCTTCATAATTAAAGTTTTTCATTAACTCCCTTTCTAGTCTTATCAACAAAAAGAATATTATTCATAAAAAACGTACACCAAGGTACATCCTCTTGCAAATAACTAGTAAAAACATATATTCATGTCTAAAGCAAAAAAGATATGGGCTTAAAGCTAATCTTTGATGCAATCCTACTAAAATAAGAAAATATTTGGTTCAACCATATTATATTTGAATATCAGTAACAACTCATATATATGTATTTTTAATGGCTAGAATATAAGCATTATTAACATATTTCCTTTCTAAACTCTCCTAAGTGCTTATCGTGGAATTTTATCACATATATATTTTAGATGAGTAAATATCATATGTAGACCATCCTTGCTCTCTCTATACTTTTTCCATCAAACCACTCAACAAATGTATAACTTCCATAGTAGAACTTCCTGACATGAATTCAAACTAATTATGAGAAATAGTATAATCACACGTTATAACATATGCTCAATTACTCTCTCTAATAATTTTAATGTATGACACAATAACTTAAATTATTTATAATTCACACTATTGTGCATCACCTTTATTCTTATAAATAAGAATCAACACACTCTTCTTCCACTCATTTAGCAACTTTTTATCTTCAAAATAATATTAAAAAAGTTTAGCAAGTCAAGAACATTGATCTTCTAAGCATTTCTACACTTCTATGGAATATCACAAATCCTACTTTTTTAACACTTTGTTTTTTTAAAGCCTCTTCAACTTTGATTTCACAAATACAATGATGAAAATGAATCTCTATTTTCATTTAGGGTGCTATAGTAACTAAAGGCAATTGTATTCTCACAAGCTTCATTAAAAAGTTTATTAAAATATAATACCCGCCTATATAAAAAAATAGTTCAAATAACTAAAATTCCAAACATATCCTCACTCTAGTTGAGGATTTAAGATATCATAATTTCACTTCTTAACCTCTATTTTTCTCTAACATGAGAGGCAAAAAGCTATCTAAAATTAGTGAAATTGTTCTTGGGTGCTGAAGTTAGCACTTCTTGCTTAAGGCTCTTTAAAAGGAGGCTAATTATGGAAGTTATCATGAGAGAACTACGGTGGTGACACTACAGGAAAATCACTTATTACCGGCGGAATTTTCCGGCGGCTTTCCGGCGGTCAATTTTCCGGCGGCTTTCCGGCGGTTTATGACGTCTTATTTCCAACAAAAAATTCCGGCAGCTTTCCGACGGCTCATGAGGTTTATAACTCTATTCGATGGCTTGAACGTTCTTCCGAAAGGTGAAATTATTCTGTACGGAGACCGGACGTAGAAAACCATCCGGAGATCAACCAGAATATGTCACGTTAGCGATACCGAGCATAGAGGTGATGTGATGCATTCTGGTTAGTCTCCAGATGACGTTCGGCATCTGCACATAATAATTAATCTTCCAAAAAAGAGTGGTTGACAAAGGAAAGTTGCTCAAATGATTTTGGAGGTAGTTATTGATATATAATTATTATGGTGGAATTGAGGTGGTAATGAAAACAAGAGTACCAAAAAACACAACGTAATTAATGAGGTGACTAGATTTTAATTTTTTCTTAATATTTTGTTATTACTTTAGTCAAATTTTCCAGCCTTCATCTTGCTTTTTGATAGATTTTTTTTTGCTTTGTAACCTCATTTCTTTGTATTCACTTTTCCTAACTTTCTTTGACAAGAAACTCCACTGATTTTGGTTTTGTTTGGGACAACTAATTTCTTACTGTTTTCTAAATCAGCTTTAGATTATTAAAAAATTTTGAACTAAAAGTTTTTGTACTAAAAAAATATTTTAGAAAAGAAAAAAATTGTCCCAAACAAAGACTTTATCTTTGAAAAAATTTTTATCATCAAAATTTTGTAGCTTGAATTATAATGCATCTATATTTGGTGATTTTTCAAGATAAAAACTTTTATGGTAAAAAAATCAAAATATTGTGATACATCTGTTTTTTTTTCTATCTGAGATCTAATGGTTTGATTTGGAGAAAATTTCTCAAAATGAAACAATAGCGAATTTATTTTGTTTTATTTGAATTCAAAAACAAAAAAAAAACATTGCAACTGGAAAACTCTTTTTTTTTTTTTTATAATCCTTCTCAACCTATAAAGACTCCCTAACAATTCTTATTAATTATTTTCCTTGAAGACTTATTTACTTGCAAAATCTTAGTGGTTGTTCATTAAGATTTCCTGCTTAAATTGATCTAAGAGGGTTAGATTAATACTTTGGGTCACCTTGTAATATCCCTAGTGAGAAATTCAGGTTTTTTTTCGTCATTGGTCACTACAGGAAAATCATAAATTACAGAAAAAGTCATATAACCTGTCGGAAAGTGCCGCCACTTTTTTCATGTAGTGAGTCCTTATGTTAATTTGATTAGAAATTATAAGTCTTAAAATATTTAATGGGGTTTTAAGTGTAATGCCCAAGAATTTAAATATAAAGAATTATATCTTTCATCTCTTAATTAATCTACCAAAGCCTCTAATTTTCATTTAAAATAAAAGAAAAATTAGCATACGCACTTTAAAATCTTTCACTATTTCATTTAATCAAAATTTGATTTACAATAAACAGGAGATCACCTACAACATCAATCTATCCCACTAAACTCCTAACAACAAAAGATAAAATAAAATGCAGAGCCAAAAGAAATTTGGGAATTTTGATCAACCTCACACCTTACGATCCAAATCCATTTCTGACCTAAAATCAATAAAACCCACATAATGGCTTGCAAAACCTAGCAGTACTCCAAATACAACCAAAGCTTCCAATGCAAAGTCACAAGAATCAATATGCATGCTCATTTAACTCAATATAAAATCTGTAGCTATCAATATGAACAACAATTAGTCATTAGTGATATGAATCAATATGAATAGTACCCGTGGAAAAGCTCATATTTCACTGCACTGAAACCTATAAATCAATGTCATATACTAGAAAAGTGAATATATTAGGATATTCAGTATAGTATCGAATATGGCGCTATCAGTTATCTTTATTGTATGTTGTATATGAATCATGAATACTTCTATCACTACTATCAACACTATAATCACATGTAAATATTGAATAGGCATGCTCCAATCAATCTTTTTCATCTCTATGGATTTATCATATAATTCATGTATGTAATTTTTGTATGTATTGGCACCTATATATTTTCTGTATTCATGTCAATGTGATCATCAGTATTATATGAATTTATACAACAATGTAGGACATCTAACTTTTATATAGTATTTTTATCCTTCTATCTATCATCCATCTATCATATCAATCCATCATTATTTGTAGATCAAATATTTTAATTATTTTTATTAAAAATTCACTTTAAAAGGTGGATTTTAATAAATCAATAAAGTTATCATTCTCTACCCGTTGGTGTAATCAGTCAGT